TATTGAAAATGTGTCACTTTTAAAAAGTATAGATTCTTAGAATTTCTCTGCAGAAGAGATTTGTAAATCTTGTCATATGGGATATTCTGAAAACGCAGCAAAATATCATAACAGTTCCAGATTTTTTGGTGAAGCTTTTTTTTAATCCGAGGGTTCCTTTTCATTTGCTTGCAGCCATTGTGTGTGTTTGCACCATTTTAACAGACAGGGACGATGGAATGGTGCATTTTGTGTTTGGAAATGTGTTATTAAGGGGCTCCAGAATTCTCTGTAAAATAGGTACCGAAGACATAGTGTTTAGTGGTGTTTGCTATAGGAAATTTTGCTTCATTGAGTGGTGTATGAATTTTAAGGAGCAGACTAACAGCGCATGTTACAAAAAACAAACTCAGCCAAGTAAAGCAGTAATTAAGACCTGATAAAGACATGTAGTTACTGGCAAAAGTTTAAAGGTTCAGAATTCCCTTTCTTTGAAGTAAATTCATGTAAAACTTTAAATGGCATATTTTTCCATCATACTTCAGATCATTCTTGTGGCAACAGAATAATATTAGTATTCTGTTATTTGTTTTAAAGTAAGCATTTCAAAATTTGCACTCTAAAGTTGGAAGACAGCAAAGGAGAAAGAGTTAAAACCTTGCACACAGACAGTTTATTGCTTTAAAATTATTGACTCAGCTGTTTTCATTTGTGAAAGATTTAGGAATTGTTCTAAGCAGTGTAAATCAAAACCTTGGCTAATCATGAATGAGTGTAGACTGGTGTCCAAAGCACACAATGTAGGCTTCAAATGTTGGTTTTGTTGTTGTTGTTTAGGTTGTTCGCTTTAATATGTAAAGCAGCACAAAAGGATAGCAAGAAAAAAGGCTCAAGAACTTGGAAAGGATCCATCTTTCTTGTGTGTCAAGACTGCTTCAGACTTTTTTTCCTCCCATACCTACTACATCTTAATTAAGTTTGCTTTCTGTAACACTTTGTCTCTTCTTCTAGCATCACTCCCTTCATTCTCTCTTAGCATGTCAGACATTTCTGAGAGTTTGTTAATACAAATACATAACTTAAATGCTTTTCTGTTGTTCTGGGTTATTTACCAAGTCAGCATGAAGAAAGGCAAAAAAATAGAAAATTAAGTATTAAGAACTCTTTTTTTGTTTTTTATCTGTACTTTTGTCTTCTGATTGTAAACAACTTTGTTTTAATTGTTGACTTCCAACTGCATCCTTCCCCCTCTCTCCTCCCAAAGAGCAACTGTAACAAACTCCTCTATTTTCCACTTAGTGTTGCCTTGTGTGTTGCATTTCATGTTTATGAAATGATTCTTTATTTAGAAACAAACTGCTTTTCAACTGAGGTACAATTAACTTCCCCATTGTTCCACAAATTGTTAAAGGAAGGGATATCGTGCCTGTTGCAGCCATGTCTTTCGATTTTTCAGCTGCACAATTGTTTGTGCTGCAAACTTGATTATATTCTGAATCAAGGTATGACTTGGGTTTCTTGGTTGGTTGTGCAACTCAGCCTACTCCTACTGCTCAGAAGTACCGTAAATAAAAATCTAGTTGAAACAATATACAATGATTGCTACTTACAGATGTGCATTGATTTTCTTGGGACTTTTTACAGTGGTTTTATTGAGGTATCCATTTTCTAGTTCTAGTAATGCTAGGTCTATGCTCTGCTGTTGGGTGAAATCCAGCTTCCCCGAAATCGATAGCATTTTTGGCTTTTGCTTTCTGGTAGGATCAGAATTTCACATTAATATGTTCACAATACCCAAATTACATGCTTAGCAAAGAATCTGGTAGTACTAATTTTCTGTAACTGTAGATAACAAAATCTACAGAAAGATTTACAGCTAAACAACTGAAATGTGTTCATCCTTACAACTGGAACGAGTTAGTCTCTGCTCTTAGGCAGAGTCCTTTTTAATTCTTTCTAAGTTTCCAAAGTATACCAAATGCCACAGGGGAACGTTTTATATTTTTGTCAAACTTTTCTCAGGCTGAGAGAGATTTGTTTCTTCGCAATTGTATGTTGAGGGAGAGGTATGTAGAATTCACAAATAACTCAAAATTAAACTTGCAAGTAAGAATAACTTTAAAACTTACCAAGAAAAAAATCTTCCAGCTGTTTTGCTTCTGTGGTAGATGGAAAATCCAGAGGCCAAGTTGCTTTTTCTTCCTATATTACCCGATGCTGTGGATTGTTAATCTGCAGTTGGAGTTGAAAACTGCTTTTGTCTTTCTCTGTTAGATCCAAGCTGTATTGAGGAACTGGGTTTCTCCATATGATAACCAAGCTAACTAATCATTTAAAAAAAAAGAAAAAAGTTATGTTCCAGTATGTGTTATTCCAGAAGAGAGAAAGAAATGTTTTTTGAAACTGCAGTGTTTTACTCTCATATGCAGCTAAGTGCATAAGTGCACTAACCAGCTACAGCTGACCCAGATTCCATATACATCACTTTTGGACAGTTTTTTTTAAACAAACACACACTCGCCTTAGACGTTCAGCCCACCTATGATGTCACCGCAAACACACTGAGAGCAGAAGAAACTCCTCCTTCGGATTTCCTATCCATACCCTCCAGAAAAGGAGGGGGTAGGGAGGCTGAGAAGTTAGGAACAAGGAAAGATTGTTTGCCAGTAGAAGGGAG